ATATATAAATCACCAAACGTTTGAGGCCATTTTCTCACCAATATTAACCTTGAAACCAGGTGACCCCACTTCCTTTAACCGCAAATATCTCCAACTTCTACTCAAGACCGATGGGGCTTTTTGGTTTTTTTTTCATCAAAAGCACGACTACTGAAAAAACTCTTAATATACTATTAATATCACAATATCTCCACATGACCAAAAATTGACGAACACCTGATTCCACCGCGTCATAATAATACATCATGTAGGCCTACATTTAATCTGTACATAAAATATACGGAACCACGTCGTAATAATTTAATACATTTTTTTAAAATGTACGGTGAAATGAAATGGTACAGGTTTAACGCTCCTATCAACACTATTAGGTTATTTAAGAGGCAGGGGCCTCCGAGTTTAACGTCCATCTCGGAAAGGAACGAGCCAAATGGGAAATTCGTGTAAAGTGCCTTTCCCATGGACAAAACGTCGGACCGAGCTGAGGCTCGAACCCCCGAACCCGCAATCTCACGATTACGAGTCCGGTAGCCTAACCACTAGGCTACCGACGCCACTTTAAATATTCGGTGCCTGCAGAAGATTAGAAGCGTTACCAGAAAGAAGCCTACATAGAAAACAAAAAGTGGAGACAAAGGACGGCAAATGTTTTGTTTGTTTTAGTAGAGGTTTTACGGCGCTCGCAACAGCATAAGGTCATATGAGCGCCAGAAGACTAGAGGTGTTACAAGAGAGTAGTAACATGCATAAAAAAGAAGTAAGGAAGGTAGATTTTTTTTATAGGAAAGAAGAAGCAAACCACACCAGAGCACCTGCCAACCACCCACTACATGTTTTGACAGGACAGAAGAGCAACACCACACATCACACCAGAGCGACCATAATATGTGAGGTGTGCTGACAAAATGAGTCACTTCTGGCAATCCACAAATGGAGACATTGGCCAAAAATTGACACTAGAGTCAAAAGTGTACATTTTCTATTGATGCCACATTCTTTAAGTATAATATGCCTTTTATCATTTCATACTTATAAACAGTAAAAACTTCACCTATAAGCGTGACGTATCTTTAGATTTTAATAAGGCTTGAATCCGAGAAGTAACTAATTTTGTCAGCAAACTTCACATATTATAAGTGAGGAAGATAAGAGGTGTCAGAAAAAAGTAACAAACACAAAACAGAAGTAGGAGAGATCGTTTGTTTTAGAAAGGTTTTACGGTGCTCGCAACTGCATAAGGTCATATGTGAGCGCTTATTTTTTTTTGTTTAAGTAAAAATTTTACGGCGCTCGCAACTGCATAAGGTCATATGAGCGCCAAGGGGTGGATGTCAACAGAGAAGTCCTTACAGGGAATCACGCTTACTCTGCTCACCTCTCTAGCCTCAACAGCACAAAGTCTGCTTCGGTTATCAAGGCACCCCGGAAATAGTGGGTCACAAGGGAGTGACGAACATACAATAGGTAGAGGAAAATGACGATAGTAAATTAAGTAAGGATGAGAAAAGAAAAAGAAGCAATTTCCCCTATGTTGTTCCGGCACAGTATGAGTATGACATTGATGAATCAACCCATAAAATTTACAATTCTACTGTGCATAAGAACATGTTAAATATCCCCCCTTTGGGAATGGCCTTAATAAAGAAAGACACTTCAATCGGTAGCACAGCCCCGGGGGGGGGGGGGGGATCCTTAAGTTTAGAGGTGGTACCAGAGAGTAATGTGATATAAAAAAAAAGAAGGAAAAGAGATATATTTATTATAAAGGAAGATATAGATCTCTATATGTTTTGCTGTCCCCGCGGTTTTATGCAAAAAAAATATTCTGAAATTATGCAAACTGAGCCCAAAAATGTGAAATTATGCAATTCTGTTCATGTTAATTTTAACAAAGAACGGTTATAAAGGAAAACAATCAGAAATTAACCCCCCCCCCCCCCCCCATCAAACCTTGCTAAATTATGTCGGTTGCATAAAACGACCGGGACAGGTTTTGTTAGGTAAGAAGGAGGAAAGCACATCAGAGCAACTGCCAGCCCTACATTGGCCCACACCCCCTCAGATACAAGCCAAACATGTACAACAGATGTGTGGCATCCTGGTGATTTAAAATATTTTTGGGGCTCAACATCTTTTACGTCCACTTAAATTCAATCTCATTATTCAGCGATAACAGTTCAGCATGTTCATGACATGACCAACCCAAAATCATTTGAAAAAAAAAAAGGTGCCAGAATTGCATTGATTTCAGTCTACCCTCATTCAAAGTTGTTCAAGTTCAAAAACTAAAATATATGGTATATAAAGTTCAATAAATGTGTTTCAATAAATGTGTTCGGTTTACAGCTTATTTCTGTATGTGTGTAGTCTTGGGAGCTTTGTTTCAACGTTTCTGTGTTTAAGTTTCTGTAATATAATATACAAAGTTAAATTAAATGTGTTTATTTTACAGCTTATTATTTCTGTATGACTGTAGTCTTGGGAGCTTTGTTTCAACGTTTCTGTGTTTAAGTTTCTGTAATATAATACACAAAGTTAAATTAAATGTGTTTATTTTACAGCTTATTATTTCTGTATGACTGTAGTCTTGGGAGCTTTGTTTCAACGTTTCTGTGTTTAAGTTTCTGTAATATAATATACAAAGTTAAATTAAATGTGTTTATTTTACAGCTTATTATTTCTGTATGACTGTAGTCTTGGGAGCTTTGTTTCAACGTTTCTGTGTTTAAGTTTCTGTAATATAATATACAAAGTTAAATTAAATGTGTTTATTTTACAGCTTATTATTTCTGTATGACTGTAGTCTTGGGAGCTTTGTTTCAACGTTTCTGTGTTTAAGTTTCTGTAAATGATGATCGACCACCAAGTTTAACCATAAAATACATAGGATCAATAGTGGGGTCTGAGGGGCCCCCTTACCATAAAATACATAGGATTAATAGTGGGGTCTGAGAGGCCAACTTACAGGCTTCTAAGGAAATCGGACCATCCAGAAGACTAGGATTGAATAAAAACACATTGCTGTTTTTCCAAGGACTTGCAAGCTTAGTAAGTCACCAAGCTTTGGCGACCATTTTCAATTTTCACACCAGTTTTACCTTTGAAACCAGGTGACCCCCACCACCATCAGTCCGAAATATCTCGACTTCTATTGAGGACAGATGGGTAATTATTTCATCGAATGCAAGACAAATGAACAAGCTTTAAGGTGACACACCAATAACTGCTCAAAACAATTGACCAGCGCCTGACTACTCCACTGCGTTGTGACACAAATGTTATGATATTATTTTTTTCTTTTATAGTAGAGGGTTTTACGGCGCTCGCAACTGCATAAGGTCACATGAGGGCCAAGGGGTGCGTGTCAACAGAGAAGTCTTTACAGGGAATCAGACTTAGACTGCTCACATCTCTAGCTTCAACAGCACAAGGTTTGCTTCGACTATCCAGGCACCCCAAAATATTATTTAAAAAAGCACCAGAGCCATGTAATACCGTCAACCTAAGGACCGGTTTTGATGATGTTAACGTTTAAAGTTCAACACAGTCTAGTGTGCTCATAGCGGGCAGATTTTCGGGTCTTAGCCGTTTAAAGTTCAATACAGTCTAGCGCGCACGTAGCCAGCAAATTTCCAGGTCTCGGCTGTTTTCTATGTAAATTCTTTTTTTTTTTTTTTGGAGCGAGTTTTACAGAGCTCGCAACTGCATAAGGTATATATGAGTGTGCTGGACACAGTAAAAGCATTCAGTTTGGTAGGAATTAATTTTGAATTTTGCTGGAGTAGTTGCTGAAGCATAGGTGAACTCTTTTTTAAAAAAAATCAATTTAGGACCACCATGGGACCTTTAGTTAGTTTAACGTGCGCAACTTACACACTGGACCTCCTAAGATTAGTTCGCCTTTGTCCGAGAAAGCTTATGTGTTAGACCTGACTTTTTGAGAGAAACGAGCACCGTACCGGTAGACCACGAGAGCCCCCCCACCCCCCCCACCAACACACACATATGACTGAAGAAAAAAACAGCTTTATAAATTAATCTTAAAATATTTTTTTAACAATATATGTTACGTATCTTTTCAGCAATAATATGAATTTCCTTACAATATAATTTCTGCAGTATATATAATATATAAAATACATATACCACAGATTTAGAAACTGCAATTAAAAAATTTTTATTTCTAAAACCCAATATTACTTCCAATTTCAGTTCAATTGAGCGATTTAGGTTCACCTCTCAAATTACTTGCGTAAACTCTCAATAGAAACTTTATCAACCAGATTCAGGAAACGTAACTTTGCACTAACTAAACCCACAGGTGTATTTTAATGGTTGCTTCCCCTTACAGAGGCAATTTAAGGGAAGGAGCTATTGAAATTTTCCATCCTTTTTTTTTGTTGGTAAACTTCAGATTCAGCCTACACAACGTCTTGTGTCATTGTTATCTGTTTCCTTTCAGCATGTCTATCTCTATAGGAATTGGTCAGACGTTTGAATGTGATGAAATCATCATTCATCGATACCTGAGATGTATATTTTGTAACAGTAGCCTCAAAATTTTTTGGGACACTGAAAAAGTCCAAAACGCCTTTTTCATTTTTCAAGCAATTTCTTTGTTATTTGGTTAAATCATCTACTACAATAAAATGTACTTCCTATTTCAATAAGCTTTGTTTTTGCAGCTCACTTTACTTTACGAAGCTGTATCGGAAAAAAACTGGAAAATTTTAAGAGGGATGATTATAGAAAGAATAACCACCAAAAAAAGAAGATGTTTCAAACTGTCTATATTTACACCCCCCCTGCAGTTTCAATATTCAGAATTTATCCTATAGTGTTCTTACCACAGCTACCTACATTTTTAAAAATTCACCTTCAAATGGTGGGTACTCAGGAGGTAGCTAAGGGATTTTATACATACATATACATATATATATATATGAAGTGAGTTAAAGCTTGTTCATTTGTCTTTATATATATATATATATCGGCAATATACGGGCAAAAAAAACAAACAGGTGCTAACCGAGTCGAAATCCGTCCACTGGTCGCGCGGCAACACCTGCTTCATCATGGACAGCTGGTTGGCCCGCATGATGCGGAAGTTGCGCGCGTCTAGCTCCTCCTTGGGGATCCTCCGCAGCGCCTCCTTCAGCACTGGCCTCATCATGCCCCCGTCCACAAAGATGTCGTCTTTCCGCAGGCCTGAGGCGGACAAAAGAAACAACGGGTCAAAGTATGGCGGTACATCTGTTGATTTCTCGCTCAACCTCAGATACATAACCTGTAAGAATGTCAGTACAGTGGAATCCTGTTATAACGAGAGGGAGGGGACTGGGTACGAAATGTCCGTTATAGCAGGATTCTTGTTATAAGGGATCCAGTAATAAATTCAAAGTCAAAGTAGGCCTAAACTATGAGTTAGGAGTTCTGTTTATTTCTTTTTGTTATCGCCCCTGATGATGATTTTGCCCAACACGACCTCTTGGTTTTACTTGATCAAAAAATCGAATCAGGTTTCTTTCTCTAGCGCTAACGATGTTGACAGCTCGGCGTTGGCGATCAGAAAGAAAGGGCTCTAGGTTAACTCGCCCGCTGTGTTGTCCCCCACCCCATCACACCCTGTGGAGCGTGCCGTCTGTTTGCGCACGTCACACATTCGCTCCGTCCATCACAGCATTGTAACATTTCCATCCCCTCATCGGAGAAGTGAGAGGCATGGTAGGCCTAGATAATCTAGACTAGGCTGGCCTATCACGCGATGCGTTCTGCTTCACAACTACTAGTCTGCGCATGCCACACCCTCCCCACTCATTCGCTCCGGCCTTCATTGTTGGCACACAATAGCTCTCCCATTCTTTGTTTCGCTAGATCACCAACAAGTTTCTCAACTGGCGAGGTCTTACATAATATAAATGGCCTATGCGGAGGGCACAGAAGCAGCAATATTCCGCTATAATCGATTAGCGTGTTTGTCTGATTGCCCTAAAGCAGTATTTTATTTACAAAGATAAAGAAGGGGAAAAAACGGGATTTTAGAACAGTGTCTAATATAACAGACTTCTCATTATTTCAGGACTCGATATAAGTGGACTCCACTGTAATAGCTCTCTCTACCTCAGAAATAACGTGTAAGTATGTTTTTGTTTTAGAGTTGTAAGACACTTGCAACACAATAAGGTCATATAAGTGCCGAAGATTAGAGGTGTTACAAGGCAGTAACAAACAGAAAAAAGAAGGAGGGGAGATAAGGACGATAGATGTTTGACAGGAAAGAAGAAGCAAACAACACCAGAGCACCCATCAACCTCCAGACAAAGAAATAACCTGTCTCTACCTCAGAAATAAAATATAAAAGTAAGTCAACCTCAGAAATAATGTGTAAAAGTAAACTGGTCCGCCAACCTAAAAAATAACATAAGTAAAGAAATAAAGTATTAGCAGGGCACCTAAATCTACCAATTCTCCGGGTAGTTACCAATTTTGGACCAGTTCTACCGCCATACCAAGGACCTTACAATGATCTCCTTGTGCCACTCTTTATTTCGATAAAGTAAAGGTGTCAAAACTTCTGATTCGCAATAGAAGGCGACGAGAGAAAAACAGACTACTAAAAAGCATGTTCTGCAGTGCTTCCAATCTTCCCTGTTTTGTGGAAATCCGTACATTCCGAAAGTTCGTACATACTTGCCGCATTATCATATCAACTCAATGCATGAGAGAGAGAGAGAGAGAGAGAGAGAGAGAGAGAGAGAGAGAGAGAGAGAGAGAGAGAGAGAGAGAGACAGAGAGAAAGAGAGAGAAAGAGAGAGACAGAGAGAGAGAGAGCTTTCTCCGCATTCTGTAGCAAAATTCAGTATTGAATGTGGAATTGAGGCGCTCGCAACTGCATAAGGTCATATGAGCGCCAAGGGGTGGGTGTCAACTGAGAAGTCTTTACAGGGAATCAGACTTAGACTGCTCACCTCTCTAGCTTCAACAGCACACGGTCTGCTTCGACTATCAAGGCACCCCGGAAATAGCGGGTCACAAGAGAGTGACAAACATACAAAAGAAGTAGAGGAAAATGACAATAGTAAGGATCAGGAAAGAAAAAGCAGCAGTTCCCTGTTGTAGATCAGGCATAGTTATGAGCGTGACATGAGTCAGCCCATTTACAATTCTATGCTTGAACGAGAAATGTCCCTCCTTTGGGAAAGGCCTAAACACACTACAGTCAGTGGCACTGCCCCGGGGGGGGTTTTAATTGCTTGTAAAGTGCGTGAAAGGATGCTGAAGAGCATGGATATATATATGCCCTGTTTAGTTTAGTTTAAGTAAGACTTTTACGGCACTTGCAACAACATTAGGGTCATATAAGTGCCAAAGACTACAGGTGTTACAAGAGAGTATGTAACAACAAACACAAAAAAGAAAGAGGGGGAGGTAAAGACGATTATAAATGTTTGATAGGAAAGAAGAAGCAAACCATACCAGAGCATCCGCCAACCACCCACGGATATATATATATATATTTAATGCCCTGTTATGCAAATTTCATTAATTATATATATATCACAAGCAACAATCTGCAACTCACCCAGCTCAGGGAAGTAAGACTTGTAGTAACACCATTTCTTCAGTCTGTACATAAAACTGCCCTTCTCCACTGAAATCACAAGACACAAAGAAAAAATAGAGTAAGAAAAGAGGACAAAAATGATGTATTATAAGGACTAAAAACAAAATTTAAAATTATTTATAATACAGTCTGAAATGCTTAGAAATATTTGGCTACAATAAAGATAAAGATTTATCTTACCTATCTTTTAAATGTTCTAAATTAGTTTAAGATCTGAGACAATGTCAACCATTCTCAAGACTTGTCAAGACAAAATAAAGGCTAGGAATTTCTAATAATAAATTGAGAGTTAGGGGTCGACTCAAAGCGGCGTTGGGGAAGAAGCAGAAGCCGCAAACGAAAGAAGGAAAAGGGTCAGTAACGTAGAAAGTAAAAGGAGCAAAGCATCTCTTTGTACAGCAGTCTCTGCCCAAGACCCCACTGATTAAAATCACAGTTCGCATTAGTATAAGATCCCATTGTTTTAAGAAAACAGAATTTTTACTTTCATATAAAAGTCATCTCTAAGATCCCGCTCAATTATAGGACTACATTCGGCTAAGATCCCGCATTTCAGATCATAATTTACTGGTGGAAAAAAACAACCCGGGTGGGCGCAGCTGATCAACCAAGCGATGAAAATTTTCAGTCATTGCGTCACACATCAGCCATTCTTTCGAATACGATCCAAGCTCTGTTGTAAATCTTGGTGAAATGGTACAATGTGCGTTTTCCCTAAACAGGATCATACTGAGGTGTTAATTCGTCGACGTGTTAATTTTTCCCCGACATCACATTAGCATCTGAATTTACATTACAAACATGGTAGAGAGGGCCTAGGCTACACGCCCGCGTCAGGCGGGAATCACATCGAACTGGGAACTCGTAGTTGCTTCTTTGTCCCTGACCATTGCAGCAGTTGTTGTTTCTACACGCGAATTTGCAACACCCACTGAATTTTAATTGGAGCGGTCACAACGCAATTGTGTGTTATGACAGAGGCAGGGAACTCGGTGTGATGGAAAGCTATAAATTATGGACAAGTAAAGAGTAGGAGCAAAGAATCGGTGTAGATCTTGAGACTCACGATTGGATCAGTGAAAATGGCATGCATTACGCCATTGTGACTGGTCATCAAGGTTGACCACTCTTTGCTCGCCATAAGTCATAACCCAGGAGTAGTCATTGTAGATTTTCCTCTTGGTCCGTCTGCCTACGATTCCATGTTTTCCTTGCTCCCAAGCACCGGAATTTTAGGCTGAACCTACTGTATTATTTTATATTCAGTTTCACTCTCGTCTGTAGTCCTGGTATTGTGTGACACTTTTCTTATATCTTGATCTTTTACAGAAAAATTCAACTTTTTCTCCATTGCAAACTTACGAAATATTTGATGTTTTCACGTGTGAACTATATCATACTAGAAGCAATTACGTAGTAATGTTTCACTCTTGTTTTTTAAAATCTGGGAGGTTTCAGGGAGAGACTGTGGGAGGGGGTGTTGAACCCCCGGCCCCTTAAAAAACCTGTATTTCCATATTTCTTGTGTTTTGCAATTAGAGTTGAGATTTCTGGAAAACCACTGATTTGTGACGGTTTTCGTAGCCTTGTGCCTGTGTGTGTTCACCTACCAAAACCATGTCATGTGTTTGGCCCCCCAATAAGCACTGCATCTACGTGCATGAGTGACAGTGAAAATTTGCGGAATATTTTTAAAACTATTAGCCTAATATACAAGACAGGCCTACCTAACGTCAATGTTTCAGTAAAATGGCGTGTAAAAATAAACCAAAAAAGAACTAGCCTGTTCTACTCTATGTTCAATACCAGGGCATGAGGCGGGAGTAATTTAAGTAAAATAATACCTTAAGTGTGAGTCGCACAACCGATGGAAATGAAATTCATAGCTGCCACTCAGGAATTTTAAAAAAGGAGGAAATTCACGCGAAGGCGTACGCGCGCTTTCCGAAACCAATGAAATCCAGAAGCAATATATACTGGAAAATCTAGCCTCCGGTTTTGGAAGGGAAAACTGTCATATTGTTGACCATAGGCAACTGAATTAAAATGTATTTGAAAAAAAAAAAACAACCACAAAAAAACCATAAAGGCACTAAGTTGACTAACAAGCAATCGAGTCAATTTGACACAGTTTGGACTTGGTGACTAAATATCCAGTGTTTTTTGCCAGCTGGTGTCTCATAAAAAGATTTCTTTCGCTTCAAACTTGTACATAGACGTAGAGCAGTATCGGATCAAGGAGGCAGGCACCCCTGTACAATTGCGGTCCTGTTTGCACTTAGTGCCCCTGTAGTGTGTTTCTTATTTAGAGATCTAAACTGAATTAAAATTATCGCCTCGGCTATCTAATCTAGATTATATCAAGAGATAGGTCTAGATCTAGATCTAGATCTAGATTCACTTCCACAGCCACAATAGCCGTCATGTAAACAAACGGGACTGCAATTGTACAGGAGTGCCGCGGACTGCGATTTCTTTCGCACAAAACGCAAAGTGCAGCAAGCGGCTTGTTCAATTTTCTAATGAACTTTTCAAGTCAAACACCGGCTGCTTCTTTCTCATTCCAGCTCCTTTTAATTTTGCATTCTGCATCAATTTCTCTCAAATTTCCGCCGTTTTCAATGACAACTCGGCGCGCCAACGTCCCGATGCCCGATCGACATTGTGCTGCTCCACAACAATAAACAATGTGAAACTAGCGCTGGGCCTAGAAGAACAAAGTAGAAAGCTACGGGCAGACATGCGCAAGCCGCGTTTTCGTCTCTTTCCCGGTTCGGTGTTTTCCTCGGGAAAAAAAAGTATGAAATTTGCCACCAAGAGCGGTTCTGCGGGGGAAGGAGGAAAGTAGCGGGAAAAGCTAGATGAAGCGGAGTTTCCGCTATTTAGCGGGAAAGTGGCAGCTATGGAAATTTCAAGGTAAAAATCAGATTTTATAAAAATCCAATAATGATTGTGATCAGGGTTCTTTGACAGGTCACAATAAAAAAAATGGCCACCTCTATTTGCACAGTTATAGGTCTCTGACCCAGGGTGAGAGGGCGAGCCTTTTGGCTATTCTCACCCAGGGTGAGAGGTCGATTGTATTTTATAAAATTACTAGTTTTATTCTCACCATTGTGAGAATAGACACTTCCAAAGAAAATCAGAGAGCTCCGATTTGTTTAGAGTTCTTGGCAGGTCTGGACCACACAAATCTTCATTTTAAGAAAATCACGAATTCATGACTCTAGACTCTAGACTTAGATTCTTGTATGAGAGATGGGTCCAATTAGATTAGTTCTGCAAAATTACAGAAATCTTAATAGGCTAGTGGCTACATCTAAGACTAAGCACAAAGTAGATCTAGTTAACTCACTAGATACGGTTCACGCAGCATTAGCGAGCACCAATATTTCAACGGGAGGCTTTCAAATGCAAAATTCCGCATTTTCTGGAGACTGAAGAGGATACAGGATTACCATATCGATTATCTGTCTATTCATGAGTTTGGACTTTTTATTCATTTTGAAACACAAAACACAATAAAAATACTCACAAGATACATTTTTGGGGGGATTTTGTTGGGATTTTTTACACAAGACATTACGTCAAAAAACTTTGGCAAGCAACAATTTTAGCACGTTTTCAAAAAGGGAGTGTATACAGACCCGGTAACCAGGAATAAAGTCACAAAGTATACAGACCCGGTAGGGGAACTCTTTTGTGATTTCGGAAAGTCTCAGCACCCTCTTGGCTCAGGGTAGAACAGAAAGTAACTAGGTTCTTCTAGACCTATGGCCTAGGTCTAGATCTAGACAGACAGATATAAATCATTGATCTAGTTTCGAGGCTAGCCTAGATCTAGATCTAAAACTAAATGAAGATTGCGGATGTCTTTTCGATGAACGATCGTTTTTCCCCTGTTTTGGAGTTGGAGGAATCACAATTTGAAGAAAAGAACAATGTCATATAATTTCAATCGAGCAGTCACCCTCTCTCTCTCTCTCTCTCTCTGTGTATCGTTCGCATTCTTTTTTTCTTTATTTGTCCCTGTCTTTCGTTCCCTCCTGCCAACTGGCGGGCATGTCATACATTTTGCTAGATCTAGCACTTCCCCCTGCTCTCTCTCTCTCTCTAACACACACACACACACACACAAACACTACCGGGTCTGGGCGCTGAAACTTCCCGAAATCACAAAAGAGTTCCCCTACCGGGTCTGTATACTTCGTGACTTTGTTCCCGGTGACCGGGTCTGTATACACTTCGTTTCAAAAAAACATTTCTAAAAAACTAGATTCTAGATGGGCATGTTTCGATCTGTTATAATGTGTGTAAAAATGGTGGTAGTATGTCTTTCGGAAGGGTGTTGTTTGAAACGTATAGAAATACTCCAAAAAATGCCAGTCTTCAGCGCATGTAGACCGAAAAAGGCCCAGTCTCCAGTGAGTTTCAGTTACATAGAATAGAAACGATCTTGTAGGCCTACCTTTTTGCCTCTAATCATTCTAATGTAAGTAGCCTAATCTTCTTGCCATTCTTCACTCTATGCGGGAACCCTTCAACTCCACCAAACTAAAACTGAACAGATAACGGCAGAGTGAGTTACTCTTAGAGTTGAGACAGAGTCAGAGTGTAAACATGGCAACTTGGACGTGGCCGTGTAGGCTCCGTGTAGCCCTCAACTTGAGCCTCAACAGTCAACTTTGACTCAAAGAGATCTCAAATCAAATTCAGAACTAATTTTCGTAATACCATGCTATAACAGACCTACCTCTTGGGAGGACTTCCGCAACGAACGATCACTATGAGACAGAGTAGAACATAGGGGTAGGGGTAGGGAGTAGGGGTATGGGTAGGATCTGTCTTTTGGCCTAGGTCTAGGCTCTGGCTCTAGGTCTAGGTTTAGGTTTCGGTTTAGATCTAGAAGGGTTAGAGAGGGTTAGGTTTAGAACTGGGTCTCTTCTTTTTTGTGTTTGTTGGGGTGGTCGCTAGTTACGGACCTATATCTATGGAATAATTAATAACGATTAGATTTAGAAAAAGAATCTGTCGATAGTGTCGACAAGACAACTTACGGGTTTGTTTGACTGCTTGTCTCGCAGGGGCTGCCATCTTGACCTTCAGTGTGTTGAAATGGACCGGAAGTTGATCTCCAGGACAAAGTTTCATAAATGTCATGACATGCCAGTTAGGCCCTAGCCGTTTTGGGGTTTTCTTCGCGAAGCTTTCGACCCAACTAAAAACAAAACAACTTGAGTGAACTGAGAACATGATGACCGATTTAAACATAGCATTTGTTTATGTTTGATTATGATAGCAGAATAATTAGTTCTGTTACTATTTTTGCTGCTCAACCCGATCCTGTTTTTACCAATGTTTCATTATGATCTCCAGGCTTACATCCAAGGGAAATAATCGAGTATTTCCCCGTTGACCAAAGAAGAAGTTGTATAATAATACTAGAGATTCCTACAGCAGTGACGTCTTGTGTGTCAGACAAGGTAGGTTGGGGGTGG